AGCAAACTCTTATTGTTGCTTTTTGCTCTCTGATCAATAGCAGCCTGCATCCTCAGACAAGGTTTATACGAACTAGTGAACAGTAACTCAGATTAGGAAATTTCAAATCTACCCGTCTTGCTCTTTTCTCTCCTTATATGGGTCCCAGGTAGATGGTTTCCCTCATCTGAAAAAAGGGTGGAAGAAAAGCTAGACATTGACTAACAGGTAGATATCAAGCTCTGTCTAAATATTATCTCACTGTTGGATGTGAACAATCCACGCCATTCCAACACAGTGCCTACTTTCATCACAGAGGTTACGCATAATTCTTAAAAGCCGGATGCTGGAAGGCTCTTCTAGTGTTGATCCCACACTCACGCTGCAGCCCATCGCTACCACTCATGATGTAGAATTCTGCAGAAGATGGGAGTGGAGATACAAGGTGTGGTTCTGCATGCTTCTCCTCTCTTTTTCTCTGTAATTTAGACTCCATCAAACCGAGGAAATCTAGGAGGCCTTGCCCCAGCCTCTTCACTACTGATGCACTTCCAGTCATTACTCTGTCCTGTAAGATGCTGCTGAAGTGTTTCTCAGAATGACCACAAACACTGTAAGGTGAAACCACTGAATCCTCAACTTGCTACTTTTCAGTGAGGCTAGAGAACTTACATGTATTTTTAAGAACTTGATTCAAACTCACACGATTGTGTCTAAATTTTACTTGAGATCAGTGACTACATATTCTTCATGAGAGTGTCTTACATCTAGGTGACCTAGATGATGGTTTTATACTCAGTGAAGATACCTGAGTTTAGTTGTCACACAAGTATTTTAAGGGGAACTCCTGATCATTGTGGTCAATATATTTTACATAGTTTCAAATCATAATATAAAATTTGTAAATAAGGTATAAAAACATTTTTAAAAAATCACATATACTAGACATTTTAAAAAATCACATATATTTCCTTTTGGATAAGTACATTGGAAAACAACATCATAATTTATATCTTCACTATGCAACTAAATTCAAGAATGAAAATAGGGGCTGGGGATTTAGCTCAGCAGCATAAGCACCTGCCTTGCAAGCAGACGGTTGTGAGTTCGATCCCCAGTACTGATTAAAAAAAAAAAAAACAACAACAAAAAACAACAACAACTACAATGAAAGTAACAGGAATCTGAAATGACACATGATGAATTTAATACAAAGACAAACTTGTAATGCTCATTTATGAGAGAATACAAGTGGGGCAAGATTGAAAATAGTATAAACAAAATTTCTTAAAATGAAGAACTTACAAGAAAGAAAGGCATCTAATTTAAGTTGTGATTGTGTACTTCCAGTGACACCCAATTAGAAACTCACCGACTTGAAAAGATGAATGGCTAAGAATGCATAATAAAGTCACAAATATTTCAACTCACAGAAAAAAAGGATACTGATGATAGCCATGATTTCTGCATAAGATGGAATTTCAATGTTGTTTTAATTTGCATCTCTTGAATGACCAGCAATGCTGAACAGTTTTTATATACTTATTTGCCATTTGTACTTTTTCATCTGAAAAGTGTCTATTCATTTTAGATGCCAATTTTTGGATTGGGTTTTTTAATTGGGGGGGGGGTCTGGTTTTTTGAGCTCTTTATATATTCTAGATATTAGCCCTTTGCGTAATAGCTGGCAAAAGTCTTTTTATGCTCTGTGGGTTTTGTTTACACTTCATTATTGATTTATTTTGCTGTTCAAAAGCTCTTTTATACAATGAGATATCATCTTTATATTCTTTGTGTTATTCCTGTGTGGCTGGGTTTTGTTCAAAAAGTCTTTGCCCATACCTCTGTTTTGTTTTGTTTTTTTTTTTAAATTTTATTTTGAAAGTATACAACAGAACAAGACAGAATAAAGCCAACTAAGATCGTACAGTGAAATTGGTACAGAACTTCACAGCAGGTTACCGGGATAACAGTAATAGGTATCACAGTATATTTTGTTATTTTTATAATAGTTGTTCTTTCAATCATGTATATCAAAATGAGATGAAATATAGAACACTATAGAAATTATCAAAACAGAATTTTGAATAGAGCAGTACCATTAATCAGAAAAGAGCAAAACAGTAATAAAAATATTTGCCTTCAAAGAGGTTAGCAGAAGGAAGTCCCCTTATTTGCTATGGTCAACCTCCCAGGAGGTGCTCAGATTTCTGGTTCACATTTGCTAATGGGCGGCCGGGGTGGGGGGTGGATAGGGGAAGTGAGATATTTGACCCTAGGCCGTGCATCAGTAGGTTCACTATTGCATAGCAGGGAGGCAGGCTGGTTGTTTGGTTTCATAGTGTCCTAAGTTGCAACATGGCGTGGATCTCAGGAGCTGCTGCTGGTTCTCCCCCTGGAAGGGCCGCAGTCTGCCACACTGCCACTGCTTACTAGGGAGGGGAGGTGCTTGCTTGGCTTCCCAGGGTCCTAAGTTCCAACATGGTGTGGATCTCAGGAGACACTGCTGGTTCTCCCCCTGGAAGGGCCGCAGTCTGCCACACTGCCACCGCTTACCAGGGAGGGGAGGTATCTTTCAATAGATTTTTAACAAATGCTAGCTGGGCTACGGGCAAAAAGGAATCCTTCTATGCTGTTTCTGGGAGTATAGACTGGAACAATCACTCTGGAAATTAATGTGGAAATACCTCAAAAAACTAGTACTAGAAGTTCCATTGGACCCAGCTTCTTAGTATCTTCTTGAAAGAATTAAAAGTGTTATACCACAGTTACATATGCACACTCATGTTTACAGCAACATAATTTGTAAGAGCTAAATCTTGGAAACAGTCCAAATGCCCATCAATGGATGAATGGATAAAAACGTTTGTTTTTTTTTAATACAATGGAATATTATTCTGCCAAAAAAGGATAAACTTGAGACATTTTTAAGTAAATGGATATATCATGAGGTCATATGTTTATGTTTAAGTGAAATAAATTGGACATACTTGTTTAAATATCACATTGTTTCTGTGACATTAAAAACCAAAAATGTAAATGAGAACCAAAATGCATAACAGGTATTGGGAAATGGGAAGAAAATGTTCAAATGGGAAGAGGAATGAAGGAAGGGGGGATAGGAAGAGAAGGAAGACAACAGAAAACATGAGAAAAGAAAAAAATGGAAACATCTGTTGTACATAAGGGAGAGGCACAGAGATTTAGGGGAGAGGAGGGAAATGGGGAAAAATAATCAAGATGTATCATGTATAGGTACAAATTCTCTATGATAAATGTTACCATGAGGTATATACAAAGTGCATCAATAAAATCAATTTAAAAAGAAAGAATATTCACAGCTGAATGATGAAAAAATAGCCTCCTGATTTCCTGATATCTAAGTATTTTATCCCTAGAAAAGTTCATGGAAAGTAGATTCTAAGAAACACTCTTCACAATACATCTGCTGATCAGCATCATATATCTTAGTACTTAAGAGTATCAATTGAGGTAAAAGAGTATACCTCAAAGTGTTAACATAGTCTATATGTAAATATTGCTTTATTTACTTTATTTTAACACTCTATAAACACATCTATAAACAACTAAGAGCAAGCTATATTGGATTATCCATAAATGATAGGTATCAGGGCTGAAAAAATTAAGGTTCAAAACCACATTTTCCCCAAATCCTTGGATGAAATGTGAGGTGTAAGTGTGGCATGCCTGCTTATCTGAGAGAGGAAAAAAAAAAAAAACCTAGAATAGAACTGATCTTACAAAACACGTTTTCTGGGAATTATTTATAATTAAGTAATCATAATTTTGACTCTCTACTTGCATAATTACATTCATAGTAACTTCTATGAATTGCCTTCATAATTCATAGAATTTATCAAGCTCTCTTCAGTAAGAATCTTTCATCTTTAACTGTATGCCACTAAACATCTAAGTCTTTTTGCAAAGTAAAGGGAACAATCTAGCTAGTAGATTATCATTCTATTTCTATATCTATATATTGAGTAGTTTTCCACATTCTTCAGATTGTTAGATAGAAAATTTTTCAGAACTTGAAACACTGGCTCATAACATATTAAATTGCACCATATAAATTATGGTGCAAATGGGACTGGATTTGAGTAGAAAATGTGTTTAGAGTACATTACTGGATTCCAGGTATGCTGTTTGCATGCAGCATACGTGAAAACAGAAAGAAGGAAAAAAAAGTCTCTCAAGGAGTCTATGAATAAATTTTCATATTGGTTGTTAGGCCAAGCCTGGTTGCTATGGTGATCCACCATCCACGTCTGTCCTGTAGAGCCTGTCATTTACATGTGTGTGACTTTCCCTGCGATGGAGAGCCTCTTAAGGCTGAAGGTCAGTCTTATTCATTTGGAGATATTATTTTTATGTTGGAGTAATTTAAGTAACATCATTGTAAAGAATTTTCTCTCAAGTCAAAGATAGATAAAATAAAATTAATGTACTTAGCATAAACAAAAAGTGAAGTAAAACACCCAAGCACAGACTATCATTTTTTAATCTCTAAATATTACATATGATCTAATCAACTTATATGGCAGTAACAGATCTGGAAAGTCTGATATCCAGAAAGTATCTGTTGCTTTCACTCACTGCCATGACAATTATTCATTCCTCCATGAAGGAACAAGAGGGAATGGGAAGACCACCTCAGCATCAGACTTCTTTAGTAACAATATAGAGGCAATCAATATCAAGACATTAAAAACTGTTGACATTTTCCCAGAAGAGAAAACAAAATGTTGATAAAAATTTATTGGAAAACATTACTATACGCCTTTCTAGAAATTCAACAAAGAGGAACACTGATCGCATTCACTCCAGGATATATGATACATGATTGCATTTGATGGGGTCAAAGAAAGGACCCAGCATTAGCAGAGGATACATTTCCCAATATAATTAAATGCAAGTTGTATTCTTGACCAATTGTATGCTCATTACAAAAAACATGCAGTACATAAATACAAAGTTCAGCAAATACAGGTTATGCTCACCTGGACAGAGAGCAATATTACAGGGCTTATGGTGTGTTTCAGGTCCTTCACAGGGCCGCCCTCCATACTGCGGAGGGGTACATGACCTCGTCCTTGTTCTTTGGCCTCGACCACATGTAAATGAACACAAACTCCATGGGGACCATTCCTCCCAAACTCCATGTACTGTAATAGAGCAAAAAAGCTTCAACAACACAAGCAAAGGGGTAAAGGTAAAGATTACTTTTATGTAAAATTAAGAAAAAAACCTTCAAAGTATAAATGTACTTTTAAAACTCAATAGTAACGTTTTCCCATAAAATTTAACAATAAATGTAAATATTCATTAAAATACTATAGAAAACACTATGTGCCTGTCTTCTGCATTTGAATACTTAAACATATTATAAATGTCAAATTTTTTCTTTTGTTAATGGGAATGCCCTTCTCTCCCAGAAGGTAAAACACTTATAGCTATTTTTAAGTCAAAATAAGAGTAGCTAAGACAGAATCTTAACAACCAAACAAAAACCAGAAATGATCTTCTGGGATTAAATTTGCTTTTAGAGGTCTAGAGGCCAGCTTAAGTTTTAGTATTAAAGGACTTTTACTGTGTCCGAAATCTAAAAATTGATGCATTTTAAACACTTTTTAACCTCATATTTTAGAAAATAAATTACTTCTGCTGTTTACAATTTTGAGGTTTAAGTTTACCATCTTTTGAATAAGAGGGACATTTGAAACTATCTATTCTGTGCCTATTGCATAAGATAGTCCCCTTTATTTCAAAATGAGTGACAAAAATGAAGGTCTCCTTCCAATAGCTGTGCAACAAGAAGACACTATTCCTCAACTTTATGGAAGTGGAATCCCTCCTTTTAATATAAATTTTTTAAAAATCACCAAATTACATAACTATGATTATGACTAACATAATTATGAATGTACCAATATTTTTCATATCCCACCACAACGAATTCCAGTTTGGTCAAAAATAACAACATGTATTCCTATGTAAGAGCCATTGTGATTATTTTTTGATAACTTAAAATTAGATTCCTTCCCTGAATATTCAAATCACTGCTCTCACACTAATTCTTAGTATTTGGTCTAGAAAAAATAGCACCTCATGGTCAAGAAAAAATGGGCTCTGTAGGGGTGAAGCTCTTGTCTTGGACCTGAATTGGTCGTAGTATCCTCTGAGAAACTCAGGCGTATGGATGTTTGATATAAAACTCACAAGGTAGAGGAAGCGGGTGTACCTTCAGTGTTCCTTCAGAGAAAAAAAAATAAGATGCTCATGTTCTCAACATTTATAGGGGAGCACCAGTCCTCAGAAACGAGGCAGAGCACTTGTGCAAGTGAAAACCAAATATATCCAGAATTTTCTTCATGTATATGCTGATCAATTTGTCATTTTAAAACACACATATATGTAAATGTAACCAATTAGCAAATGCTTTACCACCCATGGTTAATCTTTTTTTGTGGTGAGCCAGCATCCACTCTTTCAACATTTTCACATATACAATACACTATCATTAACTGTACCTGGGCTTAACCACTTGACATAGACATATACTGCATATATTATTCAGCATATGATAAGTTCATAGAATTGCACATGTCAATTTCAATGATAAGTAAATAAATTTGGAAAGAAGCTCAAATACCTGATGCCTTCATAGTGAGGTACCCTATTCACCGAGTTAACTTCCAATGATTGTGAAAATATATTCAAATAATCAGAAATGAGCCACATTTGAATAATCAATGAAAAACTCAAAAATTTTGTGAAACTGAATGGAAAATATTCGTAAAATAATGTAAAAGCAAAGAATAAGAGATTGAGAGAAACTGATTTTGTAAAATCTTTCCCACAAAGAGTTGGAGAAATCAAAATTGATTAGAAAGTCAATGAAATTAGAATAAGCAGTAAGTCTGTGTGTATATATGTATGTAAATATGTATGTAAATATGTACATTTACATGCATATAAATATGTATATTTATACGTCTGTTTATATATGAGCATGTATATTTATGAAAAGATGTTTTAAAGTAATTTACATTATTTTGTTATATAAGTTTCACATTTTATCAATTTGTACATTACTTACCAAGGTTTCTCCATTTAAAATAAATCTTTATTTTCTATATCAAGTATTAACATTATGATTTTATATTACTTATTCTGTTTATTTCTCACCTATCAAATTATATTGCTCTATATACACTGCACAATCCCAGAAATAAAGCTAGAAAATTGACAATTTTTATTCATCAGTGTCAAAACATGCTGATTAATTTTGATGTCTTAGTTAAATCATAGAATTAGAATCCTCAGAAAATGAATATTAGTACTTTTTAACAGTCTTTTTCATTACATGGTGAAGTTTCTTGACTCATTTGTATCCTTTTAAAAAGGTTATTTTTTTCATTTTACAAAGATAACAATGTATTTACAATTCATAATTTAAGGTAAGAAATTATAACACACACTTTAATATTTATAAATGTGATTCATAAGATTTATGCTAAAGATCAGATGTTTGCATTTTGACAGAAAATTTTCACATAATTTTTTATTTTGTGAGAAAAATATTAAACAGTTTATAAATTAGTTAATTTTTAAAATGATCCTATCAAAAACTATCCTAACGAAATCATGCAATTTAAACCAAATTCATCCATTTTTATAGTTTTGCTTATTTTTGGCATCAACTATATTTTCATATTTCTTTTATGCTGACCAGAAATAAAATAAAAATATACTCTAAATCAAATATATTATCATCAGATTTTTTGGGAAGGGTCTTTTAGAGACAGGGTCTCACCGTATAGTTCAGGTTGGCCTTGAACTCACTATATAACTCAGGCTGGTCTTGAACTTATGGAGGTTCTCCTGTCTCCGCCTTCTGAGTGCTGGGATTACAGGTGTGTACCACCATGCCCAGCAAAACAATTCTTTTAAATAAAAGAGTTTTTTTCTTTTAAAAAAAATGGATATGATAACTTTTATATTTACCAAAAAATTTCAATAACCATTCTTCTTAACCTATATGAACTTCTAAAGGACTAGAATACATATATTTGGTAATTTTTGGCCATTATAATTCAGAGGGAGATGGGGTGCTACTTCCTCTTATGGGCAGAGGCCAAGATTGATGCTAAGCATTCAAACCGCACACAATGGACCCTTGCAACAAAGATTTATCAGGGTCAAAAATGCAGCAGTGCATTTCAGAGTTTGAAATCCTTGGACTGGACTCTAACCTGTAATTTAACCAGACCAGTAAATACATAATTGAATGCAGCACTGCACTTTTCTCTCTTCACTTGCTATTTATCATAGAATTTTCTATTCTAAATAAAGAGTTGTTGAAAAGAGAATAATACCAATAAAATTCTGCAAAAGGCTGAGTATCTTAGGATCCTTGTTAGAAGTAACACAGTATTATGCAAATTAATTTTTCAAAACTTTTCTTTTGAACTTTGAATAAAATGAGCAAGAGTGAACTAATTTATAACACTTGATTCACATTTATAGTAAAAACAAATATTAGTTCTGATTGTATCAATCCATTTATTTTGTGGACGATGAATTTTATTTTCAATATATCCTTGTCTTGTACCAGGTTCATTCATTAAATACCAAATACAGTTGAGTCTCCACAGTTTACCAAGTCAGTTACTGATTCCTGAACTAATTTTCATTGGGATTTATTATATTAGTAATATATTTACATTGTTTAAAATATTGCTTAACTTTTAAACTATTTTAAAATTCCCTTCTCCCCTACTATAACAGACTGAAAATAAAATACAATTTATCAGCTTGGCAAATAAGCAAAATATTAAACACAAAATATATCATAACAAACAATAGCCACATAAAAGAAACCTCAGTTTCTTATACCAAAATACTTATTCAACATTTTTAAAATAGTGCAGTCGCTAAATTATTCTTCATATTTGGAACATTAAATCAATGAAACTTTCACTTTCTTTAATTTGATAAACAAGTATAATAACAATTAAATGACACTTTTCTTATCAGTATTAACCAAACTTGAAAAGACAAATACATTCTGCACAAGAAACCAATAAGTGGAGATCCTTCTTCTGAAGGTGACAAGGTAAAAAGCTCAAAAATCAATAAAAACTTTACAACCGCAGACTGTTACTGTTTTCTGCACATCAAATGCAAAAAGAAAGAGTGCTTGGCAGTTCTGCATGGGAGACGCACTCTAGTCCTGCTAAGGATGTCCTTGGTGGCCTGTGGCAGAGGAGAGAGATTTCCCCGGGTCAGCCCTCAGCATGTGCACAGCTGGTGATGGGGACGACACGCTCTGAACCAAGAGCTGCAGAGAGTGCTTGGAAACCCACTCACACTCCCATCTGGTGTTGTCTGCCAGGAGACTCTCCCTCTTTTACGCTGAAAGCATCTTGACTACTATAATACACTGCCAGGATAAATGTGTATGTCCTATATGTCCCTTCTTTACAATCATTTTCTTTCAATGCCCTCTCCTTTCCATGATCTCCTTAAGCAATTTTTTCTCAGTATCTTTATTTTCTGGCTGTCTTGCATCTAGTTGAATTCCCATCGAATCTCATAAATTATTCTTGTTTTCATAAGCAACTATTGATGTTTTTCTTGCTGATTCTGTCTTTCCTCAGAACATTCAACTTTCTACTATTTTACTTTTACTCTTCTTCCATGTCCTGTTTTGTTCCCTCTCAAAGTGACCTCCCACTTCTATCCTTCTACATTTCTACCCACATTTCCTTTAATTTTTCTCTTTTATAGGTTTTTAAATTACTTTTTATTATTAAAAGCCATATAACATAAAATTTACCACTGAAGCCTTTTTAGTGTACGATTCAGTAGTGTTAGGTATATTCATGTGGCTATGGCACAGATCTTCAGGGCTTTTTCTTCTCATAAATCACAAACTCTGTACCTGTTAAGGAACTCCCATAGAGTGTCTCTTAGTGGAGGATACTGTCTGTTCTCCAGCTTTCTACAATTGCTTTTAGTAAATGCAGAATCAGTCTTTTCCACAAATGGAACTCACCAAAAAACTTTCAGGAATGAATTAGTAGACACAGGGCTAAGTAGGGCAAAAGTCCCTTTCTTCATAGCCACTCCCTTTTTGGAGGCCTCTTGAAAGATTCTGCATGAAAATTTCACGTCAACTATAGCAATCGATAAATTTAGTTAGCAGTCACCCATTCATCAAATGAAAGGATGGAAGTATCATCCCATGGATGCGTAACTTCCTAGGCTGTGGACGTCTTGAAGAGTAAGATTCCTTATAGTTTTCATTTTTACATCAAAGTCAGCAGTCTGAGAGGGAAGCATAACTACAGTATGCTTATGTACATCAAATAAAGGCCCAAGTTTTTATGTAACATTGAAAACCTGATCTGAATTTGGCAAGCTATTATGCTCTAGTTAACATTAAGAAAGTAAGGGTCTGTCTGTCTCATCAGTTTCTGTCTCTGTCTCTCAGTCTTCTCTCTCTTCATAATGATGTTGGTAGATGGCTCTCATGAGGGCAGTAATTTCAGGGAAGTTAATCAAATTAAATAACAAGTCTTTTGCCAACGACACTATTTTGTCTCACAGGGTCAGGTAAATGATAGGGAAATTGCTGACTGTTTGAAAGACGGTCAATCACTGATTTAAATAATGGCTAAGTATACATTTCTGCTATACTTAGAAACTGCCTTTTTCTCAAATACAGAATTGGATATTTTCATCACCTAAAATACAGGAATGATATCTTAACCTTCTACTATTAGCAGCAGATACAGACACCTGAACCTGGTAATTGCAGTGGGCTGATAGTAACTTGTCTTCTTGACTGCTCTGAAATCAGAAATAATTACAGACATAATAAAATATCACAGTGCAATAAGAATTACACTTATCCACTCTAATTAAAATGGCTCTACCCTGTTTGCATGAAAATAACAAATTGTTCCAAATGCGTAGCATGACACAATTCAATAACATCCACAGTTGTAGTTACTGCTAACACTACCTGGACAGAGGGCAGTGTTATTGCAAACCCTTGATTCTCTTAATGGGCCGCTGCAGTGTGTCCCGTAAGGTGATACACAAGTTCTGGTTCGCACCTGCGACCCTTGACCACAAGTAACTGAGCACGTGCTCCACTGGGACCACTCTTCCACACCAGATTCACCTGCGTGCAAGACAACAAACACATGTGAAATACTGTCTTGAACAGTCTTCGAGTCAGCAGCATATCAAATTGATGTCACAACATGCATGAATAATTTCAATGTAAAAAATGACAGTACATTACAAGAAAACATTTCACAGAAAACATAAATTCAAAGAGGGATGCACGGAATGCTGATACACCGGTCAAGCTGGTGGTGACCTTGTTAACAACCTTACATTTTACATATCCCACTGTGCTATCGACCCTATGACCTCAGTAGTTTTCAGCAAGAGTAATGGCTGAAACCTTTCTTTGAAATTCTACTAAGTCTCTGAACTTTGATGGGAAGCAAAGCAAGACTTAAATCTAAGCTTGGGCTTCAGGGAGCAGACATGCACTGGCGTGTTCTTCCCATGTCTTTTATTGCATAGCACTCTTCAAAAGCCAGCTGGTATGAAGCCATGGAACTCTAAATGCATCTAATTCTTACTGTTCAAAATGCTGACACTTATTTATGGTTTATTTCAATCAAAATGCCTACTTTTTCACCCTATGATAGTTATTTATTTTGTGGCAGTTTACTAAAGTCCTTTGTTTCTGATTTCTTCCACGATTTAGAGAAGTGTTTTTTCAGGAAGAATGAAGAAAAATTCTTTCGTAATCTACTAAACTGACATGAATCTAAAAGTTAATTTAAAATAAGGCCCTGAGAAGCCAATTAATTTGTGCATTTATCAATTTTCATGGATTTGGCATCACACAGAAACTATGTTTACATCCTCATATTATTTAATGTCATGTCTAAGGAGATTTAAAGATAAGAATTTCAGACCAGTGCAGTTTGCTTCTAATTTTGTTCTGGCATTATGTTCAGCAAAGATTTTTGAAACTGATTTTAAAGCTTTCCATTAGTGTTCCCTAAATTCTGAGTGACATGCCTGATAGCAATAACTATTAAATTAACCATTTATTTAGTTATTGAAAAACTGTACATATGAACACCCCTCATTATATAACCAAGGGCAAATTTAACTATATTTTATAGATTCGGTTTAGAATTTGCTATTAGAGTGGGATTCAAAGCATAGAAATAACAATCTATTTGTCCACTTTTGTTGTTACTGTCAAAGGGTTAGCAAGTGACTTAAAAATAATTTTTAAAATTACTCAAGACAGCCAGTCCACAAACCAGTGCTCAAAGACAGGAGGATACTGGATCATAATGTAACTCAATATAACGATTTCTTTAGTGAGAAATCTGTTCCAAAAAAAAAAAAATTCTAAAACAAAATTTGCACTTGAAATAGCTGACTTTACATTCTGGTGTGCACTGCTTAGGTTCTCAAGGGCTCAGAACAAGCAGTCTGTGTTAAGTGTGGGTCACTACACTTTGGGCAGCAGGATTACGAAGTATTTGTTCCTATAGGTCTGCATAGAAAATCGTGTGTTAAAACAAGATTGTAGGCAGTGACTGGTAAGTGGGATGATATATTATGCCAAACAGTACTATTTTTAATATTATAGTCAATTTTTATCTTGGAGGTATGGTATAGATTACACATGATTGTTTCAGTATTTTTTATCTTCACAAATTTATATAATACCAAAATGTTCTTGGATAACTTTTTGAATAATTATAAAGCCATGCTTCACAATTCTTTCATACTAAAGAATCTTCTAGCAAAACTGAAAATCATCATTTTATAAGCTAAATTATATAACAATAGTTTAAAAAAAATCCACACGTGCATATATGCATATGTATATTTAGTAATGAAAAATTTAAGTTCAAATCTAAGAGAAAATATAATATATTTGTAAATGATATTCCAAACAGTCTGTAGTGAGATTAAATGATGTGCAAATATCATGGTCATATGTTATTAAAAGCCAAAAATTATGAACAATGTGAGCTCTATAAATGAAATGAAAAAAAAAAATGAATAAAATTAGTTCTACTTTGCCAGAAAAGCAGTTTTTCTCTCCCACCTTACATTGTTATAATGACAAAGAAACATAATTCAATTAAACTAACAATGAATTAGGACCAAGGCCTATTTTTAAATATATTTTTGCACAAATAATTAAAAATTTGAATTGCTACTCACTATGCAATATTGTAGTGATACAGAATAAGCTAAGAATTGGCCTGGATCATGGGAGATTGATAATACCAAATTTTTCTCTCCCTTAAAATGATGGTTTATTTTGTGGATCAAAAAAATTCTGCTACTCATCAGTCAATCATATACTGCTTTCATATTTTGAATGAAATACTGTTACTAAAGTAGTGGACTGCTCATCAAAACGATTATGCTGTCCCACCACGCTATCTTTCTAATAATGCTTTCATTAAATACTTCTTACTTGTGTCACACAACTTCCTTATTCATAAGCAGGTGAAGGTTATTCTCACTCTACATTGGGTCATAAACAAAAAAAGGTCAATTTATCAGAAAGGCATTTTTAAAATATGCAGTGGGATTACATAGTAAAATAAAACGCAACATACAATGCTATCAATATGGAGATATCTTTGCAGAAAGCACAAACCGATCTGTTTTCTGAGTTTGTAGCTAGGAAGGCAGATTGGAGATTGGGTAGAAATATTCAGTATCTAATTAATTGTTAAGGGTTTTCAGTTTGGAACACAACATGAAAAAGAAACTGAAAAACTTACAAATAGTTCCTAATATTGTGTTTGATGGTAAGCTATATTAGCTCTGTGACCTTGAATAAGTCATTTTATTTCTTTGAATATCTTCAAATAAGATGAATAATGTATCTAACTCAAAATCTATTTGAGACAATTGGCAAGGTAATAGATAAGTACATTTTAAATTATGAAAAAATATTAATATAAAATTTTGCTAGTCTATTAAAATCATGAAATTAGAAATATATTTTAATTTTCTTTCTAATGTAGACAACATACTAAAGTTAATATATAATATAATACGATGCTATTTTATATTATATAAACAAAAATATAAATATAATAAAAGATTATTTTTTCTAAATGTTTATAAAATTACTTGATGACTATGATGTTAAAAAGCATCAGTAAATGTAATTAAGAAAGCCTAGACAATCTTATTGGTATTTAATTTAAATGTTTATGTTAAAAATTATATATATATATATATATATATATATATTATGATTTCATTTTCCTTAACAATAAATACAGATTGTAACTTAGGCTATTAGAGCATCATCATTTATGTTTAAATTAGCTTAGTTCAATTATTGGGACTTACAAAATGAACCAAGAAATTTTGATAAAGTAATGCTACTTTTTGAACATGTTATTTTAAAACAAAATCTGCTACTTTTATCATGCTACAAAGGGCTATAAAACTCTTTTACATTACATTTACACAGTTTACTGATGATATTGATTGCAGAGGCCATTTTGAAGTATAATTCTCAAAGTACAAATTGTGATAGCATTTGATGTCTTTTTCCTTGAGTAGCATAAAATGTCTTCTATTACTATTTAATTTTATCACTATTATGTCACTCCTTATTCTCAAATTACTGTCAGAAAAAATTTATAATTGTTTATATATAATGCCAGTGTATTGGTTTGAAAGAAAAATAGAGAAGTTCATAAATAAAACCAGTTATACTTTAAAATTCAGTGTTGTCATATATATTTATACTACATTGACATCTACATAAAATATTTAGAAAAAAAGCTTTATACTGAAACTGTAAATAGTTCAGTGTAAACTAAGATAAATACACTACGATTTTGAAGTTTTAACTTAGTAATGCATTGATATGCTTAAATGTAAGCTTACCTTACATTTTACATTACATTTTATATTACACATGTAAATATTTGGTTTAAAATGAAATAATAAATATTATCCATGAATTCAAGTATCCAAGCAATGCTTTTAGAATTTAAATTTTGAAATGTATTGTCTTTTCTAAGTTAATGTATATAATAAAAAATAATGGTTTTAAAGCTTCTTTAATTTTTTCACTTCTAAGCCATGTATTAGATAGAAACTAGTATCTAGAATAGATAAAAACAAAAATTGAAATTAATTAATTCTTCCTTAACAATATCAGTATTCCTTGAAAATGGAATTTGCTAAAGAATTTTAGTTAAAAATTGTGAATTTGCATATAAAAAAGACATTAAAAATGCATTTGAACAATAACTCCTGGCTAATGTCTATAATATTTGAGCCATAAACTGATTTTACTATGCTACTGGAAATTTAAAACAATATTCACCAGTCCAGCCTCAGCTTTGAGAGACTGCAGCAGACTGGTTTGCTTGCCACCTGTTTGCATAAAGAAGGACACCCTTCCCAGTCTTGCAGAGATGCCCACAGGGTGATTCCTAGGAGGCTGAGTAGTCAGCCCAGGTCCTGCTCCTGATTTAGAGTCAAACATCCCCTAATCTCTGCTCAGAGTTTGAGACGTTTCAGTCCCTGAAAAGGACAAAAGTACATTTAGATTTTGAAAATTTGTCTGAACCTTCAGGACATAATGAAGAATATAATAAAAATAAAAATCACCCTTCCCAAATGAGAAGGTGAACTGAAAGCATTCTAGAAAATGTGTATTTAATGAAAAAAACCTAAAAACATGATCTTAGATATTTTGTTCTAAACCTCTTGTTCTGAGAATTTAACCTGGCTTGCAACTAATGTATTAAACAGAAAACTCACCTATTACCAAGACCATGATTAATTCGCAGATTTTATAGCATTTACATTTTTAGTTGCAGAGTCAGATCTAGTGTTTTGAAAACATATTAATCTAAGAACATATGAACTGAAAATATTCATTTGTGGGGAAATTCCATCAAAATTATTCTCAATATCTTATCAGAGAACTCATCGTATACTTGGAAATTTTCTATTAATGTTACAGTGGTTAAGACTGGAATATATCCAACTTTATCAAGATACACTTAAAACTTTAGTTGTCAGTTTCCCAAAATAAAGGCAACAGCTAAAAATGTTCACTACAGTTGTAAACACTTTTTCAACCACAGAAATGCCACATGCAATGTACCCACATGGAATTACTTATAATGAGCCAAAATACAAATACATACATTTGTTCAAACTCTACAGCTAAACATATGGACATTAATGCTATATATTCAGAATATAAATATACATTCATTTATTAATTTAAAATCTAATCAAAATAACAGTTTTAGTTATACGAATTTATTTGGAGGGTTTTTTTTTTAAAAAAACTAATTATTTTAGATTAAAATTATTTAAATTTTTAATTCTAAATTTAGAATTAAAAATTTTATAAACCAAGAATTTCTGTTCATATTTAAATATCTTTGCGTATTACAGTTTACTTAAAAAGCCTATTAACATTTTATTATTTAGCTTATAAAACAAAATTCTTTTCAACTGAAATGTTAAATTTTAAATAGTGTCCGGCTAGCTTCTATAAATTTTAACAACCAACTAAAATTTATAGATTGTATAACAATTGAAAATATAGCCAAGACATTAACTTTTGTTAAATTACATTTCATCATTAAAGTCCTATTTAAAATTCTAATTGTTGAATAATATCAATTAACTCTGAAGAAACAACTTTTTCTTTAAAAGTTTAGTGACACATTTTAAGTAATTAATTAACATAAGAAAATAATACATATAAGTCCTAAATGTCCCATATTAAAAGCAAAATAATTCTTACACATTTTTTGTGTACTTTTCAGTTCACAGCTACTTTATTTATGGACTTTAACTGGTGACAAAAAAAAAAAAATGAGTAAAAAAAAATCAGCTCCAAAAACTGACAAATGTGCAGCAAAAGATTATGAAAACATGCAGTGGTTTCATTAAATTAACAACAATAAATAGAAAAATGTAACTAACGTATTACCAGTTTGTGCCATAAATTTAGCAGCATCAGCTTGTTCCTGAGGGACCCTTTTTTCATGAACAGATCGAGGTCGCTGACTTTTAATTGTATGATCTCCCATCATTCCAAATTCTAAAGACAGAATAAAGGTATATGAAAGCTTGTGTGTAGACATTTCTCAAAAATTACATTACTGTCTCATGCAATATGTTCCTGTACATAACCTAAAAGTAACTAATTAAATTTACAGTGTTAAATGTTCTAGGCTCATTTGCTTGGAGTATCTCTCAACTTAAGCCTGAAAACCTATAAACATGAACAAGATTTCAAGAAGCAGTAACAGTCAAATGATACATCAGTTTTTATTTCAACTTGAATAACAATAATACTGTATTCTTTTCTGATAATGTTCTGAAGCAATACATTAGAAAAAATACAACCACAGTGTCAACTGTTGTTTTCCAGAGAGAATCCTGATTGGTTAGCAACTGTTTGCTAACAGCAATCACCCCAACAAGTCTTTTAGGACTTTTCTATAGGAATAATTCTATAACTAACCTTCCTAAAGTAAACATTCACTTAATGGACTATTTTTCATTCAGATACTAGGTTACCCTTGGGATCTCTTGGAATTCTTATTGTCTCCTACTCCCATCAAACAATTGTTCGTCCTTTTTCTAGTCACATATAAACAATCTCTTGTAAAGTGGCATTCAAAAAGGAGATGGTGCTAGGTTTCTGTTGTTTAGTCTTTTGAAAGAAAAATTTCCAATAAAGGCAAAAAAAAAAAAAAAAAACAAAAAAACCCATACCTAAGTGAGGCAAATGAGGGAGAGAAAATATAAATTGAACAGAATAATTTCTATATAAATAATCTTTTCAAAAATTCAAAAGCTTGAAAATCATATCCTCACAGTTATGCAAGTCTTTGGCCTTACTGAACTGTTGCTGAGAAGTGATTTTAATAAAACCAAGCCTAGTGTGTGTAACAGGTATTGGTTCTGCCTCATAAGAGTATAGGTAGGGGAACAGAATTCCTAAGGGAAAGTTATTGTGATGCATTCGCCTACATCATGACAAAGAATACTCTTAGAATACTCAAAGAATACTGTATCTTTAACACAGGACAAAGATAATCAGGCAGAAAGCATTCTTATAATAGTGCAGCTATATTACCAGAACTAATAATGTAAAACTTGGAGAATGAAAAATTGGCAAGCTTATCATTCAGCTTTTCTCATGAATTTTTAAAGACATTTTCATGCTAAAATGTCACAATTTACTTTACAGTGTGCTTTGTAAGCAGTAATTCTACCAATCTTGGTAAGAAAAAAATCTAGCATACCTGTTGTTTGTTCTGGTAAATTATCACATAAACCATGACATCTGACAGATTCATTTCTCCAAATTTTTGTGGAGATAGCCTACTCAAAAGTACATCTCTTGAGATATCTAAATGCGTGTTTATTTGTGGCAGGTTAGATAATATCAAAAATAGAAAAATGGAAAATTCCATAAAATGTCAGTTGGTTTAATCTTATCAAATCCATCACTATTTTCAATTACTGCCAAAAAAAACTCCTTTCTTTTTATGTATACAGCAGGTGCTGCCTTAAGCCATTTTTCATCAGACTAATTAGCAATAATCCAATCACATACTGTATAATGAGTTTGGAACCTTGCTATTGAGAACACTATATCTCAACATTTTTGCTGTCCAAAATTTAAAAATATTATATACAATTGAAATGTTTCTGTGTATAAACAGCAAAAATACAGTAGTTTTTCACTGTGCTTTACTTTCTTTCCCACTGAATTTATAATTTGTTTACTCTGTGGGTTTGTATCATTTTTTGCTTTTAAGTCAAGAGTGTACGTTTACTGAAATCAGTTTGGAGCTCTCATGTTCACGCTAAGGTAGCTTTGGCTCTGGTAAGGCAAAGCAAGCCACAACACTGCTCCACGTCTATAGTTTCTTTCTTTCTTTTTTTTTTTTTTGTCTTTTGTCTTTCAGAGACAGGGTTTCACCATGTAGTTCAGGCTGGCCTTGAACTTACTTACTATGTAACCCAGTCTGGCCATGAACTCAGGGATATCCTTCAGCCTCAGCCTCCTGAATATTGGGATTACAGGCATGTGCCACCATGCACAGCAGATAATTCTGAAATGGCTGCTAAATTTTTAATGATTTATTAAAAACACAAGATGAATATTTATTTTTTAAAAATAGAATTTAAGCAAATTTCTCATATGATTAGCTGGAATGTGATTTAAATATCCCCAAAATTTTATAACACAAATTAATTTCAATATTCTCTAGTTACTACTTATCAACAATAATGTTCTATTATCATAGTGCTGATTCTTTATCACAGATCACAGTAAGTTAAGAAGTTCTTCGGGGCTGGGGATTTAGTTCAGCAGCATAAGCACCTGCCTAGCAAGCAGGTGGTCGTGTATTTGATCCCTGGTACCGATATAAAAAAAAATTTAAAAAAGAAGTTCTTCAATAATTTATTGACTTGAATATTCATCTCATACATAAACAAAAGTTTACAAGGAAATTTTTGGTTTTCAGTGTAGTTTATCTCCAAAATCATGTTTTAAAAATGGTAACTAAGACATAACTGAGTTTTCTAAAAGATATAATATATCTAATAATTTGATTTTCTTAGATGGAAAAACAACACTATGGTGGTACTTTTTTAATATTCCAGACCTACTATCCCAGATCTTGAAAAATTCAAATTTGTAACTAAAGTATGCAAAGTGTGAGTTTCTTTTGCCAATGTTTATATTCCAAGTGTCTTAAAATAAAAATCTTTTGGTTTGTCTTACAGCTGTTAACCAATACTATTGTACTATTAATATCTTACAGTAGCTTTTTTCAAAATATTTCCCTTATCATTCATGATAACACTGTTTTCTTGATTTCTAATAAAAATAAAGTCCAAAGAGATCAAAAAACTTGGGAACAAGTTCAAACTTGTTTTTCACTATCATTCTCTTATGTGGTAAATGTGAGTCATGACAGAGCTTTCGCATGCTATGTCTTCTGGACAATATAAGTTCATCATGAATGTTTGATTATATTCAAACAATTCTGCATTGGCAAAGATAATATACTACATTAGTTACATGAGAAAAATAACATAACCAAATAAAAAGATGATCTGCTTTTGTGAAAGCAATGAAAAGCAAGTTATGACATCAAATGAAATAGGTAGAGCATATAATATTGTATATGTGGCTAATGAAAATGTTATTTTATCTGTCTTCATGTTGATGGTGTCAATGAAGTGGTAAGTAAATATATATTCATGTAGAAAACCCAAATGATTGATGATGATTTCCAGGTTTTGGCACATTTTCTCAGGTAATCTTTCACTGTGCTTCTTGCTAAAAAGCAGTAGTCTCTGAAAGTTATAGATAAAATCAGTTACATGAGAGAAAAGTTTTGAAAGTCCTTTGCTTTAAGTGTAGTTTTGTGTCTTTTCTTCCCTTACCCGAGATTATATAAGCACAATGTAATTAAGGAAAACATACACTTTAAACTTGCCTTGATAATGGATTTTCGATTATGAAGTTTTTATTTCGAAATCGAGTGTTATAATGTGTGATGGGATTTATCTAAAAGCTAAAACACATACATACCCTTGTTATTTTATCATGTGTTTATTTTTAAAGATATGGACAAACAGACCATCAGATTACTATATAGTAGTCATTGCCACAATCTGTCTTACAATGTACCTACTACTAGTTTCATGATCTTAGCCAACCTGATCTCCACAGAAACCAGACTAGCCTTCACTATCACTGCTTCCCAAGAACTTTCAGATTTATATCTTGTTTATACAATGTGGCCAAACTGCTCTCCCAGGTACCATAAAAACGGTCACACTGCTGTACTCTGGCTTATATTTTTGTCCCCTGTAAAGACCTGTTCTTTCAATCATACCTGCAATACTCCCCTTCTCCCCACACACACCATCCTGATTCCAAAGACTACTGCAGGGACTAGTTCCTCATCAGGCAGAAAAGCAGCCTATGCCTTCCCTAGCTTCTGTTTTGCTTTGAATCAATAACAGACTTCCATGTTTAACTATCACATTAACTGTTTTATTCCTCCTCCTAGACAATAATCTTCTAAGTCAAAAAAAGCATGGCTTATGAATCTTAAAATCATGTCTTGCTTTATGCATAACTGGGGTTGAATATTTACTTAAATAAATAAATTTTAGGTTAAGAATTGTTTTTCCTGAAGTTATATTTCTGTATTTCTAGGGGGACTGCTTTAGCTTGCCTGGTGAAGAGTTTAGTGGGGAAAATGAAAATTCTCAGATACTTGAAAATTGGTTACATATGGTTACGATAGTCAATATTCCTGTTGTCCAGAAATTTCATTAGTCATAAAATATATTATTATTAGATATTACCTTATTTAGAAATTAAACCTCACTTTAAAATAAAACTTTATTTTACATAAAGACTGATTAATTATTTAACATGTGTTAGGTACTAAAGTTACAAAGAAAGTAAGAAATGGTTTCTGCTATTCTGAAGCTTATAGTCCAAGGAAATTTGCGAAAGATGACCTAATCTCCTGAAATTATTTATCTTTATTAAAATATTAACTTACCAGTCAGATATTTATAACAATTTCCTAAATTTTAGAATACCCTTAATACCGACTTGCTATTATGTTTCAAAAGAGAAAATGTAACTTTTGACTCATGCAACTGTACAAGTAAAATGTGATCTCTCACTGACTGAAATCTCACAGAAGAAACTATAAAACGTGACTTTTGGCAGAAAAAAAGATTCTATCATCTGGCTTCAAGTGGTTTAAGCAAGTAAACTCTATTATCTTGGGAATAAGATGATTCATGCATCAAGGTTCACCTTTAGGCTAGCGAATGAAGTTACTGAATTCGTTCATTTATTTTTACATGTGGAAAGTTGGCACAGGGATTGTGCATGCTATTTTTTCACAATAGTGTAGGTGGAACATACACAGATAGTAAACTGGATCATCAGCAGTTTGCTATTTTTATTTCAGATCCTATTCTGATTTTTTATAATTTTTTTGAAATGTGAACACACATGACAATTGGATTTTCTTACTCAGC